ACTGTTGTTAAGCCATCATCTTTTGAATTGTGGCATAACAGATTAGGACACCCTGCAGATAAAGTTGTGAAACTGGTATTAAACAGTTGTAATCTCTCTGACATAAATAAAACTTCAACTGTTCCGGTTTGCAAATCTTGTTGTTTTGGAAAAATTCACAAATTGCCATTTTCTCTCTCAAATTCAGTTTATACTAGTCCTTTACAGCTTGTGTACTCTGATTTGTGGGGTCCCTCCCCTGTGTTATCTTCCAGTGGATATAGGTACTACATTCACTTTATTGATGCTTACTCTCGTTTTACATGGTTATATCTTCTAAGAACTAAGAGTGAAGCCTTACAAGCCTTTGTGAATTTCAAAACACTAGTGGAAAAACAAATTGGCTTACCTATTAAATGTGTCCAAACTGACTGGGGAGGAGAGTTTAGACCTTTTACAGACCTTTTGGTTCAACAGGGTGTAGAGCATAGGCATCCCTGCCCACATACTCATGAACAAAATGGGGTGGCTGAACGTAAACATAGACATGTTGTTGAAACTGGTTTGACACTTCTTGCTCAAGCCTCTATGCCATTCAAATATTGGGATGAAGCCTTTCGAACTTCTGTCTTTCTTATAAACAGGTTGCCAACACCAAAACTCCACAACAAAACACCTATAGAAACTCTCTTTCATACCAAGCCTGTTTACTCCCAACTGAGAGTGTTTGGCTGCACATGTTATCCAAACATAAGACCTTATAACAAAAAGAAACTTCAATTTAGGTCAATACCATGTACTTTTCTTGGGTATAGCATCAAACATAAGGGCTACAAATGTTTAAATCCATCTGGAAGGATATACATCTCTCGGGATATCATCTTTGATGAAAATTCCTTTCCTTTCTTCAAAACAGCACATCGTGTTACATCATGTCCTGCTTCATCTTCTCACACAGCCCCACTCAATATTCTCCCATCCTTGCCCTCTTCTCTTGTATCTGTGGAGGAACCTATATCTATAACACCAATCTCGAATCAAGACTTATGTGTGCAGGTTCAAGATCACAGCATAACACATGCTCCAGCATCAGACTTGCAACCTTCAGTCTCGGGTCCAGTGTAGGCTCCAAACCACAGTACAACTCATACTTCAGCATCAGACTTGCAGCCTTCAGTCTCGGGTCCAGTGCAGGCTCCAGACCACAGTACAACTCATACTTCAGCATCAGTCTTGCAGCCTTCCCATTCCATGGTGACACGCTCCAAACGAGGTATCTTTAAACCCAAAGTATACATGGCAGCAAGAGAGCCTCATACAGTTGAAGAAGCTTTGGAAGCAACTCACTGGAAACAAGCCATGACAGACGAGTTTCTTGCTCTCCAAAGAAACAACACCTGGAGTCTTGTCTCATTACCTCATGGCAGGAAAGCTATAGGCTGCAAATGGGTGTTTCGGGTAAAAGAAAATCCAGATGGCAGTATCAACAAATACAAGGCAAGACTTGTAGCTAAGGGGTTCCATCAGGTGGCCGGGTTTGACTTCACTGAAACATTCAGTCCA